GTGAGTTTTCTTGTGTTTTACTTGGTTTTTCTTGCGTTCTCAAGTTCCCTTCTTTTCCTCTTTGATTTTTTTGCGATTTTGTGTGGCTTCTTTCATGGCGTCCGTCTTTAAGCACAGCCATCCTGGCTTTCTTGCTTGTAAGAACTCTTCGAAATCTTTCAAAGATGTGTTAGCTTGTTCTGATTCTTTGGTGGAATTTCAGGATCTGAAAGTGACTACGCTTAGATGTTTGCTGGCGTTATGGATCTCTGAGACTGAAGTTTTGCATCTTGCTAAGCCATTTGATTATGCTTTAGTTGGAAAGTTTTCGCTTCTTCGGTCGATTCTAGATTCAAATAGAAATTCTATTTCAACCTCAAACTATAGGGTGATTTTTTTGTCACTCTTTTGGATCAAAAGAATGTTCTGATCAAGCTTCTTAACGATCTTGATTATGGTAGGGACTTTGCACATAGATCTTATTTTGTTTATGGGTGCTTTATGAAGTTGATAAAAATATCTCATTTTCTTGATTTATCTGAAGAATCTCTGATCATCCCTATCTGGATTGCATTTCCTGAACTGCGCCCCCATCTTTTCTCTCATTGCATTATTTTCAATTTGGGATCCATATTTGGTAGACTGCTTCATACGAATAATGCAACTGTTGTGGGTTCTAGACCGTCTGTTGCATGTATTTTTGTGAAATTGGATATTTCTAAGTCTCATCCCGATTCATTTTGGATTGGACCTGAGAAATTTGGGTATGTTCAAAAGGTGGTTTTGTAAGGTTTGCCTAGTTTTTGCTTTTATTGCAAATATGTGGGTCATATAAACTCTCTATGTATTAATTTTCATCCTCGTTTGAGGAAGGCTGACGTTTCTGTTCAGCCGGTTGTGTCGGTTAGGCACTTGCCTTTAAAGGATCAGGAATTGGATATTGCTTGTGAGAAAATGGTTGTTCCTGAGTTTTGCGGTGCTTCTCATGTTTTAACTTTGCATGATAAGGAGGAAAATTTAAACATTGAGCTTTTGCAACATTTAGATGGTGATTCAAATCCATTTGTGGTGTCAGTTTTGTCGGGTTTGGCTGCTTTACCAGTTCAGATGGATGATGTTCATAATGAATCTGTGGTAAACTTGCCTAAGAATCAATGTGCCTCTCCTTTAATTAACTTGTTGTGTGTTGCTCAAGAGGATTTTCAAGGGGGTGTTGACATTAGCTTGTCTTTAATTTATATTTCTTCTCCTCAGCTCAAAGGAATATTCTCATGTTCTTGTTGAGAAGGCTGGTATGGGTACTCTTGATAATTTAGATGATGCTAATGTGAGTGTTTGTGAAGTTAATACGGTCGATTTGGTTTATTCTTCTTGTGATCTGGTGTCCCTTTCTAGTCTGTTTCAGCTTATACTATTAGATCGCTTAGTATCGTTAACGATCAAAACGCGTGTTTTATCGATGTTCATAATTCTCTTATTTCTTTTGAAGCTTTGTTAGCTCAATTGGCTTTAAAGGTGGATGCCGTTTGTGTTGATCATTCTGATTGGCTTGATGGGTTTGTTTCTCTTTGCAGGGGCGTTGGGGAAGATTTGGGCAGTGCCATCGATGAGTTTAATGAGAAGTATACTTTGTCTATTGGGCACATCATTCATAAAGCCTTCTCTCGTGGTGGGGGAAATAGGCGTGGGAGAAAATCTAAGAGGTAATTAGTAAAAAAAAAACTATTTTATAAAATCAAACATCATAAACTTAATTACAATTTATTTAAAAATTATCATAAACTCCCACTACACTAAAGTAAATATATTCATATAAATGCATTAATATAATTTTTTTTATTTTTTCAATAATGCAAGCTCAATTATTAATATCCATAAAAAGATATGCAATGTTGTTAACACAAAACCTAAAATAAGTCTTTTTGTATTAGAGGAATGCGTATTAAAGTCGCGCACCTTCGCCGGCGGCGAGGTTGTCGTAAAGATCGATCATGTTGGGACAGTTACTGTAGCATTCCGGCGAGCAGAGCTTCTCTGTGAAGCGCTGATCAAGGAGCGCATCAGAGGAGATTCCGACCATCCGCCGATCGGCACCGCAGGCAGCCACACAGTTGTCGGTCTCCACCCAATCGACCAGCCTATCCACCGCCACTTCCGATTTCCAGCATTGATATGCTGTCTTTTTCTCCCATGCCGATAGCTCTCCACCACACACCGCTTTCCCGCCGATGATACAGCGAAAGCGCACAGCTCCGGCGGAAGCTCCTCACAGAACACCTCCTTGCCTGCATCATTTAAGCCAATGACAACATTTTATGTATTAGATATGCATTACGAACAAAATTCCTATTACATTTATGTAATATAAATATTCTTACATAGCCAGTTCAAAATAGATGGTCTCTCCGTCTGCTAGGGTTTCGCCTTTTTAGGGCTATTGCCCTAGCGCCGCCTCTTCCTTGCCGCCGGTACGCTTCTTGATGGCTAAAAAGTTGCTTGATCCTGGATTCCTTTCGGGTAAGCATCCTAAATCATTCAAGGATGCTCTATCTGGCTCTAGTGATTCGAGTGTTTTTCCGGAATTTCGTATTTCTTCGAATCGGGGGATTATTATTTTTTTTTTTTGTTAAGAAAATTTTGGTCCCGATGTTAATTTTAAATATATTTTTAATAATTTTGACCATTAATTTTAAAAATTTTGAACAATTTGTTCTTTCATTCATCAGATTATCAGAATATTTTGATTTTATGTTTTCTCTTTTCAATATATGTAAATATAAGAAATAGAGAGAGATATTACAAGAGGCGGATATAAGGGGAACCAAATTATTTCTTTGGTGATTGACGTACCGAGGGCGGAGGGGAAGACGAAGGAGAGAGAGACAAGGAAAGCCAGCGGGATCCGAGCAGCCATTGTTCGCGGCGGAGGTGGTGGCTGAGGAATTAAGGATGGACGTCGGGGTTCAATCGGTGGGGAGGAAACGAGGGTTGATGTTGTATTTTCATATTAGTTCGAGCATAATTCAAACTAGTCGGATTAAAAGCACTCAGATCAAATCAAATAATTGGTCTTTAATTCTTTATGGTTTCTTTTGGTACAACTATTTTAGAACTTTCTTATAAGTTTTTACTACAAAAATGTTTATTCTAGAAAGTTGTCTCATAAATCAGTAGGAAAGTTGTCCCAAAGGAAGCCTGTCTTGTAAATTGAGATGGTAGACAATAGGATCGATTTAGATTTCATTTGAGACATTTTCTTATTGTTTTAAAACAGTAGCTTTTTAATAAACAAATTTCTTAAAAGCAGGAAAAAAAACTGCAGTCGCAAGCTAGTACAAATGAAACCTTAGTCTCGACCGAAGCTTCAGTGTCCCTCACATAATTGAAGGATTTTATGAGAACCTGAAAAATGAAAGGTGTTTTAAAAAATAGAATTTTTGCTCGAACTATAGCGCAGCGACGCTTCACCTTTGAGCATCGAGACGCTAGGGTCTGGAGCACTAAAAATGGTTGTTGCGGTGTTGGACTCTCTATTCTATAGTAACTCTAAAATCGGCATGATGCGCTGGGTCTAAGCACTACAGCACTAGGCTACTAATAATATTTTTTAATTATAAATATCCCTATACCGCCTCTTCATTCCCTCGCTTCGTATGCTTGGTCGGAAGGAAAGGAGAAGCGAAGGGAGAGGAATAAGAGGGAAAGAGGAGAGAGAAAGGCCTTCAGGGCATTTTTGTCTATCATTCATATTACGATATTATTTTATTCATTGTAATTAGCTATCCTCTTGCTTTTGTTTTCGATAATTTTGATTTCTACGAATTTATCTCTCCTAAATCAGCTATAACTGCATTATCTCCTGATTTCGTAAGCTTTCACAGCGTAAATTCTAATATATTATAAATTTGATCATTCTAAATGATTTGATATGATTTTTTTATATTTTCACATGTTAAATTTGTGTATCAAAATTTCTCTATAAAATGTGTGTGAAAATATATACTGAAATTAAAGTGAAAAATGATGTATTGTGATTGGTAAGATATATTGAACTATATGACGTGTTGAAATGGTTGATATGTATTGGAATATAATACTGGTTTAACTGAGAAAGGAAAGGATGTACTATATTGATACTGATATTTATCTGATAGAAAAGGAGGTATTAATTGTTATCAAATATATAAATGATATTCATATAACAATACAACGATATAACGGAGCAATGATAAAACAATTTCAGAGCAACGATTGGGAGTCATAAGAAGATGAAGATTGATTATAGTCATAAGTATAAGAGCAAGATACCTTCATATGAATATATAATACAATACTGATTACTGATTATTACTAATAACTATTATCAATATTGTAGCTTATATTGTACTGATATTGGTTATTGTTGATACTATTATTGCTCATGATGATATTGATCACTGTTACTAATACGAATCACTACTATTGATATTGTGAACTACGATTTGATGTATTATAAATTGAGCAACAGATAATAGACATAGATATTGATGCATAAATTTTATTATACAATTTACAACATATTTTTTCACTTTTTCTTGCATTAATTTCAGTTGTAATATTTTAAATAATTGATGGATTATTCGCTCATTATTGATTTAAATGATTTCAAGTAAGGAGCATGCATGCAGCTAGATATTATATATGCATTCAGTGATGCTAATGTAGTTTTCATGTCAGTTCTTGGTTCATGTACTCTTTTATAATTAGAGTGAATATTGTATATATCTTTTTGACTCAACTATTATGATGTAATTCTGGACTATATAAATGTGAATTTTATTTTCTATTGTTTATTGTTCATCTGTAACGAAATTAATCAGTTCTGAATGTTGATATTGATTTAATTTTAATGAATAATTAATAAATAAAATGAATTGACAAGATAATAAAGATTGAAAAGAAAAAAAATAACTTTCTCGATTAATCTCGGGGCCTAACAGGATTGAACGATTGTAAGTGAAAATTTCAAGTCAACCTTGCACTCAGCCAACTCATTTTCATCCCCACTTCTATTCAACATCATAGATAAAACATAATAGTGGCCCACTATCGTATCATACATCATGCTCTTCTTAGACATCATAAGAAAAATATGTTCAAAATACATAAACTTTATTTGTTAAGAAGCATTATTTGAAAAAGAAAAATACTTCAGAAAGTTGAAACAGTAAGATTAGAGATAAATAGTTTCAGAAAGTAAGAATTGTTTGCTAAATATCAGCCTGATACAAGCTTTACAAGAATGATTGCAAGATTCAAAAATATGAGAGGAAATCTAAGATACTGGGTGGCATAGATGAGTCCAATTACCTGCCCTTTCATTGACTTGGCTCTACCTCCTCCTGACACTTCAGAGAAACTCCATCCTCTGGGGCCAAGAAAGCGATCCTCGTTTAGCATTGCAAGCGCATTTGCAAGAAGAAAAAAGCCCTCAAGCAACGTCCACAAGCCCATTGTGGCACACTTTGCTTAGCCTGTTTTAGGATAATCAATAGCTTTTGATGTTTAATTATGAGCTATTAGTTCAAATAATTTGCAAACGTATTCTTTAACAGTGGAGTTAAAGAATAAAGGAACACGGAAGCAAGTCTCACCCTAAACTTGAAAGACGACATGAGTTTTTTTTCTTTTTTTCTTTGAAGGAAAAGCTTAATGTTGTTGTTGTTGTTGTTGTTGTTGTTGTAAGGAAAAGCTGGCAGGGCTAAAAATCTCAAGAAAGACAGCACTAACTAAATACAGATTTATTAGGCTTTGTTTGGGATGGTTCTCTTACTGCTTCTTAAAATATGACAGCTTTTTAGTTCAAAAATTTTAATCTCTACTAAAATGTTGCTTTGAAAAACAATAAGAACACCATACCAAATGAAGCCTTAATCACAAGAAAATAAAAAAAGGGCCGTGGTCTGGTCTATACGCATAAATTGAAAGTTTTTGTTTTCTGTGCCGCAATTTTATAAGTAATAAAAGCATATCCTACACACAACTCTCCTTGACTTATTGGTTGAGAGCTTAGGCTTCCAACTAAGAGGTTCAGGGTTCGAGTCTATGTGTATGCGTTGTGTGTGTGAGTTTGCCTTAAATGGCCTAAATGTCCAAAAAAAAAAAAAGCATATCCTACTCATTCTGTGTCAGAAAAACACAGTTTCATGCAGGTTATGTTTAGTTTGATTTTGGTTTCAAGTTTGTTTAAATGGCTTGGTCTTATTTATTTAACTACCCGTCGATTTGAGAATAAACCGAAACGTACTTACCCCTAAAAAATACAGAGTTAGAAAGCTAAATTTTGTTTAACTTTTTATCATCTTCTTATGAAATTACTTTTCATGATCGAGGTGGATCTTTATGTTAGATGGGTTGATGAAAGAGTTCAAGTGCATTACTGGTGAGTGAGATATAAGTATGAAAACGACAAACAAATAAGTAGATCAAAATCAAATTTGTAGAAGATGCCTCAATTGCAACATGTCTTGCGATAAAGTAACATCATTAACAAAGGAGCACACAGATGTGTCTTCGCATAATTTTAACAATTCCCAATTGTTGCACATCCAACACCAAATGCAATTTTTTTTTCTTTTTATTTTAGAGTCCATTTGAGATAGCTTTTTTACTATTTTTTTTAGATCGTTGTCACGTTGTTGTCTGGCTGTTGCATTTGTGCAATTTTTCAGAAAACTTAGTGATGGCAAAAAACTTTTTACAACCAAATTTATGATAAGAAACAACCGTCAGAACAAAGAAAAACGTGTTAAATTTAAGAGAAATTCAGCAAACACCCGTCAGGTTTTATGAAATCTGTAGAGAAATAGCAAAGGCAAGCACTTGAAATTCAATATGAGAAGAAAAAATAACCTGATACAATACAATGAATCTTCAATTCGAGAGGAAGATTTAGCTCTCCAATCTCAAGCCAAAGTTTAGAGCCCAAAACCAAAAGTAGATATCTCAAATTTTAGATTTAATTCAAGATAATCCTAACTCTAGCAAGAAGAAAATTACTTAAGGAAGCACAAATAATTAATCCCTAAAAAGAACCTAAATTTAAATTTTTCCCTCCTAAACTAATGCCTACATTATTGTGTGAACCCCAGTCCTTTTGCCTCCCAAACCAGGCTTCTACCCCCCTGTTTTTCCGCCTCCTGTATATGTGAACCGGTCCCTGGTCTGGTCAGCCGGCTCATCTGGCCCCTAGGACAGTCTAACATTACCCCCCTCCCAAAATCTCACATTATCCTTAAGGTGAAATGAATGAAATTGATGTTTCATCCTCTCATATGATTCCCAAGTGGCATCGAAGTCAGGGAGGCCCCTCCATTTAATCGACACTTCTTTGATCCCCCCTTTTCCTGATCTCACCCTTTATAACTCCACTGGTTCCAACTCCTCAGTCAGTGTCACCAATAAATCTGCACTAACTGCATGTTCTACCAGAGCTATCCTCAACTATGACACATGGAAGACTGGGTGTGTGGTGGCGGTCGGGGGTAACTTTAAGTGGAACGCCACCGCTCCAATCTTTACCAAGATCTCGTGGGTATTGAAGTAACTCGGGGCAAATTTCTCATTCTTCTAGTTGGCCACTACCCTCTATAGGTAGGGTCGTAGTTTTAAGAACAACCTATCCCCAACTTCAAACTGGAAGTCTCTCCTATATGCATCTATCTGCTTTTTTCATGATCTATTGTCTCCTCAATAAGTGCACCTTCAATTCTTCTAACAGCTTATTCCTTTCCTCCAAATACTGCTCTACTGAAGAGTGGTGTGCTTCTTTGTCGAAAATGCACTAAGCGTCATCTGAGAAGCCGAGTGGTACGAAGTATTATACCAATATTTGGCCCAAGCTAAACACTTGGCCCACATCTGTGGTGTTTTAGAAGCAAACACCACAAGTAAGTCTCCAAGCTTCTGTTGGCTACCTTAGTTTGCCCGTCCGTTTGAGCGTGATAGGTGGTGCTTCTCTTAAGAATTGTACCTTGCAACCTGAACAACTCCGTCCAAAACTGACTGAGAAACACCTTATCTTGGTGAGAGACTATCGACTCCGGGATCCCGTGCAGCCTAACCACCTCTCTGATTAATGTTGTAGCTACTGTAACTGTGGTGTAGGGGTGTCGTAAGGGAATGAATGCGCATATTTACGTAGCTTGTCAACAACCACCATAATCATTATGACTCCCTCATATCATGGGAGACCCTCTATGAAATCCATGGACACTTCCTCCCATACCCTGTTTGGAAGTGCTAAGGGTTGTAGTAATCCCCCTGGATCCATAAACATGTACTTATTTCTATGGCACACCTCACACCTTGACACCATCTCCTCCACATCCTTATGCCTACATTTCCATTATAATTCAACAGTCAATCTTCTGTATTTCTATACCTTGGAATGGTCTCCAACCATGCTCCCGTCGAACTCCTCAGTAGGTGGGGAATATGACTAGAGGTTTGTGGCCCATGGTACAGTAGCCTCTCCTTCGAGTTAGTAGCCTGGGTGGATGCTCCTATCCTTTAGTAAATCGCTCCTAATCTTGCTCAGCTCCTCATCCCGCACACTTTCTTCTTTGATAGCCCCCCAATCTATCATCAGGGGTACTGAAAGGACCATCTCCTGGAGCCTATGTTGCACCGATACGAATATGGCAACACAGATAAGACACGATACGGATACATGATACGTCAATTCTTAAAAATACAGGATATGGGTACAGTGCGGACATGACATTATAATATATAAATCATACATAAAAATTAAGAAAGCAATCAAAGTATAATATATAAAATTATACAACAACAACAACAACAAGCCTTTATCCCACTACGTGGGGTCAGCTACATGAATCCTTTTCTCCATTGCCATACAGTGCGTCGCTTCCAGGGGACGCCCTAGCATTAACACAATTTCTTAAATGATTCATGTCATTATTATTCGACAAGTTTTACGCTGGCTGTCGACTACCTAACGCAACCCTCCACTTTTCTCATCCAGGATTTGGGACCTGGCAACGGCAGTGTTAAAATCATTTGTAGCCTTGTAGCTTCTACTATGAAAATAAAAGTATTAAATGTCTAGTACAACAACAAAAGCATAAACATAAATTGTCTAGCACATGAAGTTTCAACTATTCAATAAAAGGAATGATAAGATTAGCTTCTCAAGTGGTTTGTCTTTTCATCAAGTGAAATATTAACAATTTTTAATATTCTCATATCATCAAGAGACTCAAATCCATCTCGGAAATGAGTGAACCTCGCTCGCAGTCGCGGAAGTAAATACAACGTGTCTTTTTTTGTTTTTCAACGGATACCTGTATCGGATACGGGTGTGCTTTTGAAATTAAATAGTTTTTTAATTGGATAAGTCTTTGTCGTATCTGACACATGTCGGTACCGTGTCGGAGGCGTATCCTTATATCGGTGTATCGAATACAACACGCTTTCATAAAAAGGTGTATCAGTGCAACATAGCCTGGAGCTCTCCTTCACACATGGATAAGGCATCATCCACCTTATTCTCCAATCCTAGTTTGTACTGGATCTCAAAATCATATGCCAACAATTTGGACAGCCACCTTTGATCAAGTTCCTCAGTCACCATTCTTTGCTGCAGCAGATATTTCAAGCTCCTCTGGTATGTCATGCCGATGAAGTGCCACTCCAGCAGGTATAGACGCCACTTCTGAATGGCTAACACGATGACCATCAATTCCCTTTCATATACTAACTTCATCCTGGCTGTGGCTATCAACACTTGACAGAAGTAGACTATGGGTTTATGAATCTGCATGAGCACCATCCCCAACCCATATCCTAATGCATCTGTCTTCGCCACGAAGGTCTGATTGAAATCGGATAGGACCAAAACTGGTACTGTGTTCATAGACTTTTTCAGCCTTTCAAAAGACTGATTAGCCTCCTCCCCTCACAAGAAGCTATCCTTCTTAAGCTGGTCTGTCAACAGTCAGGCTATGTTGATGTACCCCCTCACAAACCTTCAGTAATAACCAGTCAAACCTAGGAAGCCCCTCAAGAGTGTGTCTTGTTCTTTAATGGATTAGGGAAATGGGAGTGGCTACAACAGCTAGAAGAGAAATGAGCAAAGTAAAGCATTTTTTTCTTTTTACTTTCTCCCTCCAGCCTCTAATTTCACTCTCTCTCTCTCTCTCTCTCTCTCTCTCTCTCTCTCTCTCTCTCTCTCTCTCTCATCATTTAGAGAGGTTGCATGCTCACAAAGATATTTGTCAATGAAAGATGGAAGTTGTGTTAATTTGAGTTTGGGAGAGGTAAAATTTCAGAGTTTAGGAGAGAAATCTCTACTTAAAATTTTGATGAGATATGCTTGTTTTTCTGTTGTTTAATTATTGTAAATGAATTCAATTCATGCTTGTAACTCCCCTTATTTGTGCTCCGCCATCGTTTGATAAAACATTTTATTTTTCTCTAAGTCCCATAGATGTTAGCCATTATTTTCATTGAACCACATAAATCCAGTGTTTTACTATGTATGATGTTTCATTAAATCCCGATAATTTTGTGTGGTTCAATCATACAGTCACTCACAGATCAGTCATGTGCCACAAAGAGAGGTAGTTTGGACCATTCTTATGACACAAATAAGCATAAATTTCTTCGCATCCCAATCAAATTTATATCCAGTTGCCCAATGTCATACAAACATCCATATCAATATGCTGATTTAGACAGTAAATAATAAGCTGCATACCAAAGCATTAACTTCATCAACAAAACTAAGAGTAAGAATAGTGCATCAAAGTAGAGCTATCAATAAGAAATTATTGTACAATCACTTAAACGAATTATTCCAAGTATTGGGATAATGAAGAACAATAAGAAGCCATTTAAAAATATGATGTCTCTGTCAACAAATCATGAGGCAACAAAACCCATTACAGGTCATCAATAAAAGAAACCGTTAGATTATATTTGCATCAGAGTACTAGGGAACTTCTTAATCCCCTTCACATACACCAAAACTGTAGGTAAGATTATTGCTAGAACTATTTCAATGCAACAATGATGCCAGCAATGTATCACATATTCAACATAGAATTAACTCCTAAAATTCATACACAATGACCTATTGAATCCATTCTACTGCCACTCACAAATAATCAAATGATAATACTGATGTGATTCAAATTTTCATTTCAATTTCTCAAGTTTCTTCCATGAAAGCTCATAAGCAGTACACATCATTTGCTCCTTCAGCACAATCTAGTAAAACTAGAAGGACCAATGTTCTGGGATAAAAAGCAATCCAATTTTTTTTGCCTTGAATGCTCAGTTCGCCTATCCTTAACATCAGGTAACATGCAGTATAAACTTGTTCTAAAACTTAAATACATTAAATTTTAGATCAGTTCTTCCGCTTGCCCTGCCAATATCCTCAAAGAGCAAAATGAATCCTTGGGATTCCATATATGTATTGATTAATGAATTAAAACAGTGATAGAATGAAGCATTACATAGATCAAAGATTAATCAAAAGCTATTCAGTCGCAATAGATTATTACACCATTATTTCTAGCACAGAATCAAGGTCGGTTATGTCCATATAAAAAAGACGAATTACAGAGAACGGGAAAAACATAGAAAGAGATCAGCTAAGCAAAGTAAGAAATCAAAATTAAGGATTCTGAGAATCATGCAGTTAACAAGGAAAAAAACTGAATTAAAAGCTAGGGAATCGGCTGGCTAAAGCCGCGATTTGGTTTTCCCTACCTTCAATCCGGGAACGGATGAACAGTCGGCTTTTTAATCATAAGTCCGAGTCGGTAAACAAAATTTCAAAAAAAAAAAAAAAAAAAAAAAAAAAAAAAATTTCAAAAAAAAAAAAAAAAAAGAAAATAGAAAGAAAGAGGAAATTACCTATTGTTGAAGACCGCGGATCTTCCGTCTCTCCAAACCGGACCAGTCCTCAGGCACGCGACGAACCGATCTAATATCACATAGTTAGCTTTTTAAAAAATCAAATGAATATTTTAAATGAAATTTATTGTTCTTTTTTTCATTCTTCTACCAACAGCATACTTCAAAAATAGCTATAATGAAGATTTTTTTATTAGTATAAACAATTACTCAGAGAGGAATATTTTCTTTAGCTTCAAAACATTTTATTTTACCTCTAAGTATTCTATTACTCAGGGTTTATTTTGACATTTCAAGACATTTGTAACAAGTCTGACTTTTTCAAATTAACAGTCTACGATTTTATTTGAGATAATTTTTTATTACTTTTAAAATATTTTTTAAAAAAAATATATCTACTTTAAAGAAAAAATTATACTTAAAAATTACTTCAAAAAAATAGTAAGAAAGCCAAGAAGCCTAAAACTTAATTTAAAAGAGCTTTCTTAATGATTTGATTTGTAAATCAATTTTTTATATTCAAAAATACAAAAAAAAATTACTTTAAAAACTAATAAAAAAAATATCCTAAATTAAACCTAAATTGAGTTTTTTCCAAAGTAATTAAGAAAGTCATTTCTAAATACTTATTTAACTATCCAAAATATTCTGTTATTTGACAATATAAGAACGTTAAAGAGGTCATTAAATTTAATATAATTATCAATATAAATATACAAATATATGTATACAATTAAATAAATACATAATAAGAGAGGACAAATGTAGAAGTACCATCATTCAAAATAAGCGAAAAAAACACAACTAGAAGGTAACAAACAAATCACTCTCCAAAGATCTAAGGCATACAAATCTAAGAGATTGTTTACTGCTTCTTAAAACAACTTTTTAGTACAAAAATTTTAATTTTTATACTAAAAATTTGTTTTTAAAAGCAGGAAAAAAGCTGTCCCAAATAAAGCCTGGCTCGCAACTTCACATTACATCCAAAGTGAAAGGCCAATGAGATCTTCCTAAAAAAAAGGGCACATAAAAGATAAAGGTCAAAAGAAAATATTGATATTAAAAAGAAACCTTAAGACTTAATGTCTTCTTCATCATCTTCAATCTTTGGTGCTAAGTAAAATCTAATGTAGCCCATGTCTGCAATCTTGTACTCGATAACCACCGGCAGATCAGATGATAGGCTTATTGTCACAGACTCGGACAAGGAAGTGGCTTTGGTGAAAGAATTCAAGTATCTCAAGGCGAATGTTAAGCTTACGGGCTCATTCATCTCAATGATAGTAGCTTCATCTGGCTATTAAAACAAATTAGAAAAAAAAAAAACTTTTTATTCAGCTCGGCTAAGAAGAATCATCACAAGAAGTTCTGTAAGCTCTATCTTTCATGTCGGGGGAAAAATTCAGAGCATGAATTGTTAAAGCGAAGCACTAACAAGAAAGTTAACTGGAACACGAATACATTCATGTTTTTATGCTGAAATGAGAAATACTTTAGCTAACACAGTTGATATCATGGCCTATACGGTTGAAGGTGTGCTTAGAATGATAATTCTAATGGGTAGTTAGGAGTAAGTTAGTGGGTCTTGGTAGTTCATAGGCACTTAGTATTTATTAGGTTATTATTAGTTGCTTAAATGAGTCATTAGGGTTTTATAATTCTATAAATACACTCCTCTTCATTGTAAAATGAATGAAGAAAATTTTGGCTACTCTCTCTCTCTCTCTCTGCTCTCCATATGCAGTTGTAGACATCTTCTAATTGAATTTATCTTCTTCCACCAGTACTTTTTGAAATTTGAGGCAAGTTCAAAATTGCCTAATTATCCATAAATTTTTCTTAAGGGTGGTTTGGTCAAAATTATTATGGGTGTAGCGTAAAGTAAATACATGGGTTTTAAAATTTTTAGTATTTTGACTGAAAGTAATACACAATTAAAGTATCTTACCAATGGATTTAGAATCGCAAAATAGCTCCTTTTGGTATATTTGGAATTCTTTGGTATATTTGGAATTCTTTTGTATATTTGGAATTTGAATAGATCAAAAGAATTCTAAATATAAACATGATGTTGTTGACCTTGATTTTGCCAAACCCTTGGATCAAAGGGTTGACTTGCTCAAATTGACCAAGCCAGGACCCAAGATCCCTCCTATCCAATTCAGTGGGTCAAACTGAGTTTGCTGAGCCCAGACTTAGGCTCTGGGTCAACCTGGTTGACTAGGTCAACCTGGGTTGACCCAAATTGACCCTAATTCCCTTCTACTTGATTTCAAATCCAATTTGAACCTCCTGGGGTCAACCTCGCACCTCACCTTCTACTAAAAGCCCAAGACTTACAAAACCCACCAACCTAACCCTAACTACTTTCACAGCTATTATCCTAAAAAATAACAACTAAGGTAATAAAGAAAAAACAGTAAATTATATTAGTGATATCACATTGATCCAACTATAATAATGATTCAAATATAATATAAAATTTTAGAAATATAAGGCAACATGAATCAACAAGCATTGCGCTAAAGAGGGACATAATGTATTAGCTTAATACAAAAAGGCATATTTAATTCAGAATTCAATCAAGTATGGCAAGAGAAATATTAACCTTATCAATAGTCTTATTCTGCCTGCAGACAATGTTAGCAGTTCCAATATCACCTCTTGTGGTGAATTTAACTCCTTCCTTGGTAACTGAAATAACAACTGCATAAACCAGAAACCATACTTTTTAGATGAACAAAATAGCAACAAAATTCTAACCTATGAGGTCTTTTAACTTTAACAATAATTTTACCAGTGTCTCCTATGCTGCTGAGATCCTTACAAATCCTAGAAAATTCTGAAGATGGCATCTTCACGATTGCATGATACTCTGCCTCCGGAATGCCTAGATGCTCACTATCAATATCCATAAGCTTCATCTCAAAATCTGAAATCTTATCTTGATCTGTTCAATAGTTGAGAGGGTATTAAGTGCATCAACAGTATAGACCAAAAAAAAAAAAGATTTAGCAAAATATAATAAGAGTAAAAAAAAAAAAGATTTAGTCAAAAAATAATATCCAATGGAAAAAGATAATGGAAGAACCACAACAGGGCATGCATGGCGACGCATAACCCAAAAATGAACTCCAGAACAGGCAAACCCACTTGAATGGAACTATTAAGAAAAGGAACAGACATAAAGGGAACCAAACAAAACCAAAAGGGTTTCTCCTTACTAGGGCTCTCGAACATGAAAGTGATAGTGTCGCCGCCATCGTCGCCCTTGATGGTGATGATGTCATCGTTTCCAGCGCATTTGAGCATCTTAGACATGTTATTGAGGTTCATCCCCATGGAGATGTTTCGATCACAGCGGTAATGCTCGAAACCCTCAGATCGGAGGAGGAGCGCAACGAGGGCGACGTGGCTCGAGTCCATTGCTTGGAGAGACAACCCAGTCGCCGAGCAATCAAAGTTAGCATCTGTTACCAGATCTTTGATCGCCTCGATGACCTTCTTCAGAAGGCTTCCCTGTACTAGCCGCAACTCCAACATCTCCTCCTTGCTACGGTTGCTTCGACAACTGCTTTCCTTGGCTAGGGTAGGGTTCGATGGGGTTTTTAGGAAGGCTCGGAGCCGCACAAATGCGACTTTCAGTTGAGAAAGGCGGGAAGAAAGTATCGCCGAGTATAGATGGCGAGGGAGTGGGAAATGGCTTCTCCGACAAGGATCAAAGATGATGGGACAATTTTTAAACAGAATATGCTAATTAAATTAATTATAAAAATTATTTAAAATAGATCATGCCGAGTTACTCGTTAAATGATCAATTATGACTATTTTAATTTTTTCTTTTTTGTTAAATTAATTTTTATAATTAATATAGTTAATATATCCTATTTCAAAATTAATTATAAATAATTTAATGTTTAGTATTATAATTTATGAAGTTAGAGTAGCATTTGAACTTTAAATATCATAATATAACTATTAAACTTAATTATTAAGTTCTTTATATAAAGTGCTAAATAATTCACAATAGTAGAAAAAATTTGTATTAATTATTAAGCTATTTATAAAGTGTTGAAATCATAGTTAGGAGATGAATCTTGCATTGAAAATCAAGCAATGACAATTAAATGATTATGGTCAAATTGCGATAGTTATTAGTGGTGATTACCGACATCAAACGTTTATATTAGCGTTTGTATTCTCCATACCTTTAAGCTTTAGTATTCCGTCTTCTAATGTGAAGAGTGTGGTAAGTTCATTTTTTTAAAGACATTTTGATTATTTTATCTAAATACCGACTCACGATAATTATCATGATCATAGATCATTATATATAGAAGTATCTCGTTAATATCAAAATTTAGTGAAATTAGGCTGGTTATATTCATTTTATTGAGGCGCTTATTTCAACTATAAATTTGATAAAATCTAATTTCGTATGGGTCAAAAATTTAATTCCGAAATATTATTGTTAACAAATTTATCTCCATTGGATGTTTTCTATTGAAAGCTTTTAAAACCCTCTTTAAAATTATATAAAACATTCGAAAAATATATCCTTGAAAGCCGGGGCGGAAACCCCTAGTGCTCGTGAGGGCTCACCCTAAAAAAATTAAAATACTAAGATCTTTGGGTGAAAAATAATAAGAGAGCTTAGGCTTTATTCGGGACAGCTTTTTTCTTATTTTAAAAAATAAATTTCTAATATACAAATTTTTTAAAAATTTTTTTTACTAGAAATATGCTTCAAAGAAGTTATGCAAATGAAACATGAGTGAGCAGAAACCAAAACATTCCAAAATTAAAGTTGCAGGTTAGATGGTGTCATTGCCCCTTGTGATGCAATGAGGATCATTTGTTTGGATTAGGGGTGTCAATTCGGGTCGACACGGGTCGAGTTCAAGTTGAACCCGAGCTAACCCAGATCTAAACGGGTCAACCCGAACCCAACCCGTATTTGCAAACGGGCCGGACATTTCAACCCGTACCCGACCCGCTCGGGTTGCCGAGTTGACCCGACCCGACCCAAGCGCGGCTGTGCGAGATCGCGAGCGGCAGCGGCATAGTCCAAGTCGCGACTCGCGAGCGCGCCTGCGAAGCGGAGCTGGTCGCCTGGTCAGGCCAGACGATGGTCGCGGAATCCGCCGAGGAGTCGGGCCAAGTGCGGGCTGGTCCGGCTGGACGCAGTCACGCAGGATCCGTTGCTCCGCGGCTATGCGGGCTCGCCGGGTGCGCGAGTTCGCAGGTGTCCAAACCTGACGCGGACGCGACCTGACGAGCTGACGAGACGCGAACTGAGCAGCGGATTTGCGAAACGGGTCAATTCGGGTTGACCTGTGGGTTGTCGGGTCAACCCGAACCCGACCCATTTTTCAAACCGGTCAAAAATTCAAACCCGGACCCGATCCGTTTCACAAACGGGTTGACCCAAACCTGAATTTTTTCGGGTCGGGTCAAAAATTGACACCCCAAGTTTGGTTAGCTTGAAAGGTGATTGATTACAAGCACACTTTAAGAAATTTCTGGTTAGATTGGAGAGTCAAATCTGATCTAAGCATAATAAAATAAAAAACAAATGGCTGTGGCTCATCTTCAAATATATAGAAAGATTCAAAATCCAAACTCTTTTTTTTTTTAAGCAAGCTGTTTACTTGACAAATTTGCATGCTGTATTTGCAAGCTGCTTTGAAAATAAACACATAAAAAAAGCCATGAAAATACAAAACATAAAACATCCATAGTTCCGAAACTCACACAATCTGAAAAGGAAAATTAGTGTGAGTTTCCAAATTATATCATTGGAAACTGAAAGCAAATGGGGGCGCGAATTTAACAAATATTACCAACAACATAAAAGGAAGGTCAGCCTCCCATCGCAGATTAGCTATCAGGAACTGAGGTTGATGTGCGCTTAACTGAGGCGCACTTAATAAGATGATTGTAGCTTCCCTTCTCCTTGAAAAGCTGAGAAAAATGGTGTTTGCAGTACAGAATGCCTTCAAGAGCCGCATAATTTGAAGGAGTAATGGCGCAGCCTCCATGGGAACATCTGAAACAGGATTTGTGGTATGCCAATCCTTCAACGGTCACCTGAGATTTTTGCAATACTAAAAAGTTGCTTTAAGAAGCAACAAGAAAGTCGTCCAAACAAAACCTTAGTTTACCTACGCCGACTTCCAATGAAACAAAAGAGTGCACAGTACCGGGACAATGTGAAAATGTGGTTAAGATATGTAAAAGATGAACATGACTTGCTTAGAATTTGATGACTTATTTAGAGAACTTATATATGTAAAAGATGAATGAAGCAAGATGACATCTGATAGAAGTTATCAGGCAAAATGATATCATTAAAATTGCATTGTAACAAAGCATCAAAGCCATATGCAGAAATGACATTCATGGAATTCTTTTCCAATAAAGATTATATGATAAATTAATGAAAAAATGGCCAAACCTTCTCAAGGGGATATGCTGTCTTTGAACAAATAGCACACTTTTCCTGAGTTCCAGAGAACATGCCAGCAGCTTTGCTAGGAGATCTCGTCTGAGAAAATTACCAAAAATTTTAACGTGATTTAGGCTCCAATAGTATATGTTTACCAATTGAGACAATAGAAATAAGATAATGAACACACCAGCTCTGGAGTTAACTTCTCTGAAGATTTTGCCGCTGTCAATAGGAGCAATGGTTGATCAGAATAAATACAGAATAGAAACAATATTCTCCACAACTATATAACCAAGAATGTAGCCTTACGTGATTGGAAATTCTTGTTAAAGTTTCCTGCCTCCCTAAAGAGTTGTTCAAAATGAGGTTTGCAGTATAGAACACCTTCCATTGATGAGTAATTACTAAGCTGAAGAAAAGAAGAATACATTTATATTAAAAAGCTCAAAATTTCAGAAGCTTTCCTATAGAAAGATAATTAAAATTAACCGATCATAAGGAAGATTAAATAAAAACCTCATAATATTGGAAGCAATGACAATAATACGTAACACATACAAAGTTTTCTTGCGCTTCATATCAAAACTTAAAATTTATAGCACAAGCAACCTAGTTACTCTTAAAATTATTAGAGCTATTGGAATTATTCATTATCATATAAATATTAGAATATATGTAGTTGAAATCTATAGAACTTATTAATGTAATATATCATCATTATTGATGATATTCTCTTTTATTATATTTCTCTTATTGCAATTTTTTTTTACCTTCATATAGGCATATTTGTATTAGCAATACAATTGAATAGAATCAAACAAAGATATATCCCTCTATGATTTCTAACAACTATTATACCAAAAATTGGCAACCAATAAACTCTCGACCTGTGATCAAGCAATGTTTGAATACATTCTTTGGCTATTCAAAGGCTGCTCTACAATATGACTTAATTAGCAACCCAACATAAGCTATCACTGATAATTGAAGAGAAGCAATACATGCGCTACTGGACTCCAGCGAACTAAAATTATTGGGGAGAATGGAATTGGACACCATTGGTTGATATGGATAAACTAATAGCCGTTCAACATTAAAGCTGCATCCATTCTAATCTATAAATGATATCCCTATAATTGCACTCCTTGATGAACATCAACTAAGGCCTAGAATTAGATAATAAATTTTGATTTGTTTAATGCTCTACTAATTAGACCCATAAAAGATCATGCAAGATGCTATGAAGGGGATATTATTCCTCCACAAAGAGATTATTCTTTGTTGTAATCCTCTTCAACTCATTGATCAGGTAATAATATTCTCTTTTCATTATATTACTTTGTATTGTGATCCACTGTGAAGTAGATCTTGAACCAAATTCCCCTCGTTAGATCTTAAACATAATTAACAATTACATTTAGATCTTATTTTCATCATTGAAATCAACCTAGTAATAGCATAAATGACCAAAATCTTGATTAACTTCTTTTAACCTTTTAGAATCGAATCAATAACTTCACACTTCACCATAAGCTATTTAAGATAACAAAGAGAGGTAATTGCTTGCACCATGAAAAGTTTAGTAGGCCAAAACCTTTTTTTTTCCTATTAAATTGATTCCAAATAAAGATAATGCATCAAATATTTAACACATTGATCCGATAATGTTTTACTAAACTACTTTTGCAATTTAACAATCTGAAATCAATATAATCCATCAAATCTTCAAATATTTAACACATTGATTGGATAATGTTTTACTAGACTATTTTTGCAATTTAACAATCTGATGGTGCTACGTATAGCAATGTTTTGTAGCAAAACAGATTATAGGGATTAGTTAGATAATGAATTAAGTCAAATAACATATCCTATACTAAATCTAAGACTTTGACACTAGGTCTATGCCATTTAGCTCTCTGAATTTAATCAATTTATACCTTGTGGCAATCTCATATGCTATAAAATAAAAAAAGTGTTTTGAATTTGAGCACAAACCCAATTCCTTAAGGATGTTGTCCACCAAGACCAAATTAGTAGGACCATATAAGAACTCTCAGACAATTCCACTCCATGAAAGCTAGTCAGAAAATTTTTGTAGTTTAATCATAATGATACTCATAGAGATACATGACTGTACAAAAATTTAAGAAGAACTCCGTTTCTATAGCTTAATGGCAATGAATTTTGCATTGAGACTATTCTTGAAGGCAAACGAAAAATTCTCGCCACAAATCTTTAAAAATAAGCGAACGTGATCATATTGCAGCAACATGGTGTGTCCATTGTGCCTCATCTTCTGTTGTATTTAAAGAATGGAAGGGATTGGAAAAAGGAAGAGGGTGTGGCACATTTTCCATACTCACAACATATATTCTGAATCTATATTTGTATCCCTTAATTGCAGTTCCTAAGGTAGAAAGATACAAACATTATGGGATTAGTTTCGGGCAACCATTGGGAGATTGAAAGAAAGTCATTGTCACAGTATTGTAGTGACTGTCTCGTAATGCTCCTTGAGAGGCATAATATAAAAGGTTGAGATATTAAAATGGAAGACAAACCATCACCTCTAATATCCTGAACAACACTTATTATGCCGAAAAGTTCCATCAACATGCTAAAATTTTCTAACTTAAAAAGCAAGTGGCAAGGCATTTAACTTTTTTTTTTATTCTTTCAAAGCATAAGAAAATCAATTAAAACATTCCAAATAGCTGAAAATTATTAAACAATTAATAATCTTCAAACAAAATATTTAGAGATTTGATGAAATCTTATAAACAGGGCATCCAAATTGCAAAACAAAGCACAGCTGTGCATTCAAAAGTACTATTTTATACAAAAATCCATCTATTATTAAAAAAGTAGTTTAACAAAATAAGCAGAAGAATTCAATATAAGTCATTAAATGTGCACTAGCCATAAATAGCACGAGGGATAATTACACTTTGATCCACCATTTTCCAATAGAGACACTTTAGACACATTTAGGTGCCTCATGTATCGCGAAAACAAACCTCCTTGCTCATTCATTTCAAAAGAAATTTATGTTTTTGAAGTAAAAGGAGTACCCAACATATATTTTCTACTTTGGTGCTTCTTCGATAATAAGATGTCTCATTTTCTTCCTTTTAAATTACCACCTAAACTTCTCTCCACAGCACCAACGCCAACCCTTCGAATTGCTCAAGACCCTTCCATCGCTCACCACCAGCCCAAATAATACCCCAAATCACAAGAACTGTAAGAACAAGGGAGAAAACTACCACCCTTTGTTTTGAAGACTTAAAGATAAAAGAAGAAGATCATGAAGTAAGACGATAAATGCAGAAGAAAAATCAGTCCGGTCACCGGACGTAATAATTCGCCCGCAAGAAGAGGGTGGACAGACGAGCAATTCACTAGCATTTAAGAAGAGCAAAGAAGATTGAAGTAAAAGTATCCATATCAAGGCAGATTTACATATTTGACACATAAGGCACAACATCTGCATAATATCGAGGATAAAAAAAAGAAAAGGAGCCAAATTGCCTTTGAAAATATCTTTTATCATGGTGTCGGGCGCACAGTTTTTTTTTCTGCTTTTTAAAATAACTTTTAGTACAAAATAAATTTTTTTTTACTAAAAAAATAATTTATATACTAAAAACTGTTTTAGAAATCAGCAAAAAAGTCTGTCCCAAATGCCTTAATAGCGATTCAATTATGAACCACCAGTCATTACGGATACAAGGAATAACTTCCTGACAGATTCAGATCATACATCAATAAAATAATTTGACTAAAAGAACTGTAGATCGCAAAAAACAAGAACTTTTTCATTTCCAGAGTAACTACAAGTTCCGATAATGTGAAAACATAAGCCTTAATTTTGTCCATTTTTTAACCTGTGAAAACAAGAATCAATGGTGAAAATACCTTTACAGGGTTCCTTTACAGTGATTGCACTTGAAGCAAGATGAAAATACCTTTAGGGTTCCTTTACAGTGATTGCACTTGAAGCAAGACTTGTGATAGGTCACGCCATCCGCCATCAACTGATCCATAAGGTATACGGTCTTCTCGCAGACCTTACACTTCTGCTGCGTTCCAAGGAAAGCCATTCCCACTGGATCGAACGACTATCTTTCTCACTCCCTCAATCGCAAACCAAATCAAAAGACTTTCTCCACCAGATCCGGAAAGGGAAAAAAAATCTAACCTTCTATCAGAATTCAGCTGCACCTGGAAAACGACCAAAAAACCGGGAAAATTAGAATAAAAGTAGAACTAGCCAGAAACCAGCAGAGAAGAAAGGATCCCGTTCGATTCAACCTAAGATCTCGCCAGAATCTACTCCTCCCGATCGAGATCTATCTATCGGCGACGTGTTAGGACTTTCAGTCAGGCAGAAGTAAACTTTCTTGTTGCTGCAAAAATACAGAGGAAATCAAAAGGAACGAGCTTTTCCAATATAAAAAGGAAATGTAAAAGAGCCGCGATGCGATAATGGCAGCTTCAGTAAAAAAATCGACAATTGGACGCAAGACATCGATGCTTCACCACGATCGTGTGGGCCCCGCTCGAACTCATTTAAATTACTCCGTCCAAACTGTGATGTGTGCAGCAATTAATTATGGGAATGTGGCATCATAAAAGAACCAGCGGCTCTATTTATTGAAATTAATTAGCCTAAAAAATGCCTCTTATTAAAATATAATAAAAATAATAATATTCAGTTAACCTTAGTGAAAAAAAAAAATTTCTCTTATCACGTAATTGGTAAGAGCAAAACCTAAAATAAATTATCATTATTGCTTCTTGCAGTTAATAATTGCATGTGAAAAGAAATTAATATTGTATATAATATCTCGAATTGATTAATTTTAATATAAATTTAAAAATTTTAAAGCTAATTTTCATGTGCTTGACATTAGAATATTTATGATTTTTTCTTAGAAAACTACTTTAAGAAGCAGTAAAAAAATCGTCCCAAACAAAATATAAGTCAACTTTTGAATTAAATGGAAGTAGGTTTTCGTTTAGGACGATTTTTTTACTGATTCTTAAAATAATTTTTAGTACAAAATTAAAATTTTATACTAGAAAGTTATTTTAAGAATCAGTAAGAAAGCCGTTCAAAAGAAGGCTTCGTTTAGGATAGCTTTAAATTACTATTTTTTCTCTATTTAAAAAAAAATTGTGCTAAAAAATATTTTTACAAAGCAATAAAAAAGTCTGGGCTCCAACACAATAAACTCAACTCTTGCATGATGAAATTTTATGATAATGCCTTCATTAAATCTATGAAACCTAGCACGCATCTCAAGAACATCAATACAAATCCTCTAGTTAAATTTGACTATCTAATTGCACTTAAGAAACAGTCATATATCTATTCATTATCCTTGAGATTTAATCATCCAGCACGAATTGTAACAAGGCGATTAATTCATCCAATGTATATTTTATCAACATATTAAAATACCCTTTTCACCAAATGTATATTTCTATGATGCATGCAAAAAATAGTTCCATATAAATGGTTATGTATTTCAATAATTTAAATTAAATCCTAGTCATTTCCAGGTGGAAACCGCCGTAGGGGCGCCACCCCCCAAAAACCCTAGCAGGTTGAACCATGCCAGGAGGCATTGTCCCCTTTGACCCTCGATATATCGGTCCAAGGACGAGTCTGCCTCTTGTACCTCAAGCAAATACTAATAGAATTATTTCAACTGAGCGTGACCCTGTGACTTTTTTCCCTTTCCAGTGGTTTCCACGTAAAAATCCTGGTGTTTTTATTTCTTTCCTGTTTATGTGTTGGATATCCGTGCAACGCTGAGATGAAAACTTTCTAACTCTATCGTCACGAATATAATAGTCCGCAACACCAACTTTTAAAAGAGAGACATAAAATTAAGTGCTATAGAGATAAGTGTGCTCAGGTGAATGAATGACTTTATACGTAGCAATAGAATGATTTTTTTTTATTAAATAAGATTGGAGAGAGTCATCTTAGATTGCTTAGTCATATTAAAAAAAAACATCGACCTTCTAATGATCTTGTTAAAAGAGTAGATATATTAGACTATGCCTATGTTAAAAAAAGGGACAAAGACCAAAAAAAATTTGTTTAGAAAGTATTAAAAATGATTTTTTTAATAAATTTAAATAAAATTTTGACTCTTAAAATACACAACAGAGAAAAAATAATTCATGTCGCTATCTATACACAACAGAGAAAAAATAATTCATGTCACTATCTTCACTTAGTAGGGCAAAAGACTTATTATTGTTGTTACAATAATATTTAACTCTTTCAAATTATTTAAAAAAAAAAAACTCTTTCAAATTATTACAGGGTATCCAAACATATCTTAAAGCTGAAACAAACCAGTATTATTTAATAATTTAACTCCGGTTAGACTCACCAACCTATCCTTTGAGGCTCACTTAGAATCTCAAAAGAAAAAAAAAATTATAAAATCCACCTTATTATCTTCTATCAAACATTCCTTTAAAATTATAACATACGGCATTTAAAAATCTAAATCATGCATTTAGTTATATTTATCTACAATTTATTTATAAAAATAAAAAATGCATAATTATTAAAATATCAATAAATTTTTTGAAAATATTTATCTAGAAAATTTTGAATTCAATATAACATACCAAACAAATAAATGAAAATATATATACTAGTTTTAAAAATAAAATAATGATTTAAAGCATATATACGTACAAATGTTATTTTTTTTCAAATGAAGTGTTATCATTAAATATTACAATTAGGAGCTATTTCATTCAAACTAAGTATAAGAATTTAAAGAAATATTGAGGTTTGGTCTAAAATAAAACAATTGCATAATAAAATTTTAAAGCTCGCCTTTGTACGATTTTTAAATGTACCATAAATTCACCCCATTATCATTTCCCGCCAACAAACCCCCAAGAGAAATTATTCGGTGAGGACATCAAACGCCGTCCAGAGACCAACCAGAATGAGCCATCACCCCCTGCTTGATACAGCTCAGTACTTGGCTCGATATTATTGGCATGACGCATTTTGATTGATCTACGAACGGTAAACTACATTCGGCTTCCGCACAAAATAATTTCTCCCAATGCTGACTACATGTTGCTCACTCGCCCCCATTTTTCAAAGAACATTTAGGTCAGGTAAGACAAACTCACAAATATATTACATACACAAAATCAAAACTCTCAATCAACAGATCAAGATAAAACTCCATCCCACCAGCCCCTTAAATTGGCAATTAAAAAAAAATCTCCACAAATCAATGAGCCGCTGATCTTTTAACAGCATTGAAAACGTCGCTAATGCCACTTGTCAATTATAAAAAAACTCCCTAAACAAAGAACTTTTATTTTATCCAGTGAACGTACGCTCCTCTACGTTCGGATCTAGGCAAAAAAAACGTAATACCGAGTACCGAGTTGTACCGAGTTTTTTAAAAAAGCCCTTAAATTGGCAATTAAAAAAAAATCTCCACAAATCAATGAGCCGCTGATCTTTTAACAGCATTGAAAACGTCGCTAATGCCACTTGTCAATTATAAAAAAAACTCCCTAAACAAAACGAGTTTGAAGAACCGGACAATTTTTTTTCTACAGAATATAAAAAAAAAACGGGCCAGCATAGCCCCTCTCTTATCCACAAACACTTCATTTGAATGCTGAAATTTGAGCAAAACAGAGTGAGAAATGATTGAAAATTATAAATCATTGGCTGCAAATTCATATAAAATTACAAATTATTTATTTTTTAAGACATCTAGATCAATTAAGACAAACTTCGAACTCAAAATCTACTTTTTCCTGCAGCCCAAACAAACCACTAAAACAAAAACGATCCTCACAGAAAATATGGAACCATCCAATCCATTGCAGCAATTGGAACCCCAACAACTACTAATATGTTCTCATAGAGCTCTATTATTTCACAATACAAAATCCACTAAATGCAACTGTGAGCTGTAGCAAGCATTACACCTCAATTACAATATCTATATATGGTAAAAATGGAAACAGGGAAAAAAGAAAAAGCCGAAAATTACTATACATTTACAGTCTCAAACAAGCATCTGGTGGCCAATAAAATAACTCGATTACACGCATTTGAATGATTAATAGGAAGATAACACATCAATGGTGTACAAAATCGATCTGAGCATTTGAAAAGCATCAAAATGCACTTGCCTGGATTTTGATGGTGATTTTGCTAAGCTTAATCTTGTGAGACTGCTAAAATTAAGATGGATTCACATAGAGAACTGGAACAAGTCCGGCTAGTTTCCCATCTCTCCCTGGTCGCTTTTTCTTTACATAGTACCAACCATCAACCTCATCCTCAATCTCAAACTCTTCTCCAGCATCTAAACTTAACTGCAAGAAGGAAAGAAAGAAGAGTTTTTGTGAAGGAATTGAAAAACTTTACTCATTTTTGTAGGAATTTGATGGAAGAAACGGGTTCAATATTGCAGGCATACCTCGTCATCTCCACCTGCAGTGAAGTCATATAATGCTTTCCCAAATTGAGGGTTATCGGAAGGATTTTCATCATTGCTATGTGAGCCAAAACTTTGCCCAGCTATTGGATTCTCAAATGATTCATAACTTTGTAGAGTTGAAGATGAATATGACGGAGGTTCTTCTTTGATCTGAACATTGTACAGCGTCTTTAGTTATTATATTATAATGCGATGGGATATCATAAGTAAGAGAAAAGCTTACCGGAGATGCAGACCCCTCATAATTCGAACTTCCAAATGAATTATTGCTGAACCTGCTACCAGTGGTAGCTGGCCTATTGTCCTGAGAAGGCTGTAAACAACTTTCTTAGAAATTTTCATCAAACGAAATTTCCATCAACTTTATATGAATTCTAAGAGTGTATGTAAAGCTTTCAATATTAATTTCTAATGGCAGAGATTGATAGAATCAATCTTTGCCATAAAAAGTGCATTGCAGGGCTGCGGAGGAGTAAACAAAACCATGCAGTTAACACCTCAACTGTAAAGGATCTACACCCTAATTCAAGTTAAAGGGTGGGATTTGGGCATTAGCTAAGTTGCCTCTAGTGTATTATAAAGGTCCCAAGTTCGAGTGATTAAAATAACCACTCTGAAAAAACAAGAATAAGGCTGCGTACAACAACCCCTCCCTAGACTCTGCATTGGCCGGACACAATACATTTGGTAAGCCCTTTGAGTGAATTATCATCAAGTCATTGATGAAGGCATAGCAACATTTTTCAATCTATAAGGACATCTAATTTAAGGCCCAAGATCACATAACCACCCATTATAAGCTCAAAGGTTGGGGCTTTTAAATCAATAATCAAAATTTCCTTAGAAGTCCATAGCATTAATAGAATAAACTTAAATGGCCGGGAGTGGTTCTCGAAAATCGAACCAATTTACAAGGGTTGCAGCCTTCATCAATAGTATCAGTTGGTTCATTGGCGAAGGAGAA